CCTAAGAATCATCTATTCCTCGTTCATTCATTCCTAAGGATCATCCTAAGGAATCGGCACGAAGTCCATCATTGCCATATTTTACACAATGGGTACTAAGTCTGCATAGTCGCCAGGGTTTAGGCACCAAGCCTGCATGATCGCCAGGGTTTAGGCACCAAGTCTGGATGATCGCCAAGATTCGGGCACTAAGTCTGCATAGTCGTCCGGTTTAGAGTACACCAGGTGAACACATCGTTCACAACACCTACAGGTTGCGAGCCTGCTAGTGTTCCACTGGACTGTCTAGAATAGTTTGTGGTTGGCATCCATACTCTGCTAGATGACGGGTCCAACGCTTAGGTAAAAGGCTTCCCTCATTGTTCACCTTTCACCCTTATCTAGTGGTCTATATCACCTCTCATCTCATCATCCAAATCATAATTCATCTACCCATGTTTTACCCAACATATTTTGTAGATATAAAATACATATACAGTTTAAATCATTTAAAACATATATAAAATCGTTCATCCATCATAGATAGCAAGTATACAGATAATATGCACACATTGCACGTAATTTATATAAAATACTTCATATCTATGTGTAAGATGAAAGTAACTATGCACTCACCTGATAAGGTGGTGACTCGGTACTCGGACAGCGCTTCGTTACTCTTAAAACAATTTTCCTTTGACAAAACAGCGGGTTTTTATTAAAAATCGGGCTTCGCTGGAGCAGCGTTTACGAGCCGAAAGCTTTTCTTCTCGGAGCCGTCGGGCTCTCTGTGGCTTCCTTCTCGTGCTAGGGAGGTTCCCTAGACTTGGGAGGGGTTAAGGGAGGCTAGAGAGAAGTTAGAGAGAGAAAGAAAGGCTTATGGTGTGAAGAAAATATGAAGAGTTCACCATTTATTTATAGGGATTTTATAGTAAAGTAGCCCCTAAGTTTCGTCCGTATCTTCCGCGTACGAGCTCCGTTTTCTACGTTCTTTATATCAACACGTTGGTATTTACGAGTACTACAACTTTCATTTAGACCCCGTCGGCTAATTCTCCTTCTATCTCAGATTTACAAAAACCGTATCGTATTTATCGCGCACGAAGAGTAGCTACTAAGCTTCGTCCATATCTTTCACATACGAGCTCCGTTTCCGACATTACTTATATCCACGTGTTGGCATTTACGATTACTACAACTTTCATTTAGACCCCGTTGGCTAATTCTCATTCTATCTCGGATTTACAAAACTGTATCGAATTCGTCGCGCTCGAAAAGTAGAGACTAAGCTTCGTCCATATCTTTCGCATACGAGCTCCGTTTTTGACGTTCTTTATATACACGCGTAGGTAAAAACAAGATCTACAACTTTCCTTTTGACTTCGTCGGCTAATTCTCGACCGATATTAAATTTAACAGTATGAGGAGATTATACTGTTAAATGACCGCGTAAAATTCATAACTTCTACATACGGACTCCGTTTTCGTCTGTCTTTTTGTCGTTGAGTTCCTATTAATGAGATCTTCAATTCTCATTTAGGTCACGTTGTCCAAAAACCGCTCGATCTAAAATTCGAGTTTCGGGTCGTGCACTGCTATGCCAAATCTTAGAAAAATCATAACTTCCTCATACGAAGTCAGATTTGAGCGTTCTTTTTATGTACACTCTCGGTTTAATGTATACTACAACTTTTGTTTAGATTGCTAAGGCTAAAAATTCTTCTATCGTAAATTCACTATTTACATCGCGTTGTGTCGTGCCGGTTTTGCCGAAAAACTTCGACGAGTCATAACTTCTTCGTTATAACTCGGATTTCGGCGTTCTTTATATGTACGGAACCCTTGTAACATATACTACCACTTGGAAAAGATTAATCCTTCTAAATAATCTTCCATCAAAAACTAATTTTTGATGCTCATCGTCTCTAAATTTACTGGCCCGGATCTGCGGGCGTTACAATTGCCAACCTCTGCATTCACATTCTCTCTTCTCCAAGTCAACACCATACCTTTCATTACATTGCACAACTTCAAACTGTTTGTATCCACTAACACATGGTGCCCAAAATCTGTCAATACAAAAAGTTAGTTAGCACTTGCATGTATAAAAAGTAAGTAAAAGTGTTTGTATCATTGCCTTCTTCATCTTCATCTGCAACAACTACTGGACATAACTTGTTCAAAAACTTATTATTATAGGTTCTTTTGAAGATTCTTTTGCTTGTTGTAACAGATTCATCTTCTTCATGTTCACAACTCTCATCATCAGCCAAAACAGAGTCGACATATTCTTCTGAATACACAGGTTCTTCATCGTCTGGTTCTTCTTTCTGAATCCACTCAAATATAGGTTCATTATTGTGCTCAATATACACATCCACATGTCTGTGAGCATTTGCAACCTCAAGAAACTCAGAGTAGTCACATTCATTAGTGTTTGGAGCCCCTCACTCAATCTCACTTCAGGTATACATAAATACACATACTTGCACTGAAAATCAATAAGCGTCTCAACATATTTGATGAAATCGGAGAAAACAAACTCGTTTGCATCTTCATTCAGTCGTAGTACTTCTGGAGCAAAATACACTAATGGATTAGGCACAAATGTACCATTATAGTGTACATCGACTTTTGGAAATGCTTGATTTTCCTCCATTGAATCAGAGTGGTGTTTTGAGAGAAGAGAAGGGTGAGTAATGAGGCACTGATCAAGAACGCATTGTGAGAAGAAAGAGAATAGAACCCTAACTGATTTTTGTAAATGAGGTTTCTTCATAAATAAGGGTGGAAGAGGGTAATTGTCACGTAACTAATTTCATTTTTCTTAAAATCTCGTAAAACACAAAATGACCGGCTTAACCGGCATCAACCGGTAATAAAGACTTAATTTACACACAACAACAAGTTCAAGAGTAAAATATGGACAAAAAAAATCGGAGACTAAATATATACAAAACCAATAATATGTTAACCTTTTAAGTCATTATCTCTCTTCTTTTATAATATCAAACAAGTACATCATTTTCCGATATATATATATATATATATA